ATGAAGTATAACTAAAATATGTGCATGCGGAAGACCACGCTTCTGAAATTCAATGACATAGATATGTGCAATAACGCGTCCAAAAACTCCACGTTCAAAAAGATCCTTCTTTAACTCTTGAAACTTATTCTGAAAAACACGTGCTAATAAAAATAAAAAAAATTAATATAATATATTAAGTTGGTTAAAAGAAGTAATATAAAAAAAAAAGTACTTGTGATATCAGGTCGATCTTGAGCTTTTTGTCCAGGCAATATTAAGGTTTGAATTTCTGTCCAGTTTGGATTACATGTCATTGTAATAAACAAATCAGGTTTGCCAATACGTAGTAAAGCAATTGCGTCTTGATATCGTTGCATCATGTCGCGAGGACCTCCAATAAATGTAGAAGGAAGTACTATTCTTCGACCAATTTGTTTTGGATTATTATCACCATGTGATACTGCATCTTGAAGGCCTTCATACAGTTCACTTCGGATTTTATCTTGGTTTTGCCGATGAAAGTTTAATCGATCTGATTCAATTTTGACATACATGTCAACTATATATTGCTGGAAAAGTCGTCCTGCTCGTAAAATCAGATTGACAGAAGATCGAATTTGAAGCCTATATGCATAGTATTCCATTGCACTTACAAATTTTCTATGTCGCCTTATGTTTGTATTGCTATTCTCATATTCCTCATTATTATCTTCATTAATATCAATTGTTTCAGGCGCAAGAGAGACATCTCTATATGGAATTTGACGGGGGGCCCACCCCTGTTCACCGTGAGGGAATAAAAGTGGATAGGCTAAAGGATCATAACATCCACTAAATTCAGAGATACGAATCAGTTGATTCATTTGAGTGTGTAATATAATATCGCGCTTCTGGATCACATTGGAAGATACATCGCTATCAATCCAAATTGCTGCTACCTGAGGGGCTGTTGGAGCATTGTGAGTCCTTTGATCAAGTCCAGAAATATCGGCATGGATAAGTATAGATAGATTTTCAATGTCTTTAGCAGGTAGGTCAGAAATGTATCGAAAGTTAATGACATATGGGTTTACTTCATCAAACATGATCTTTAAAGCTTGAACAATATCTAGGTTAAGATTGGAATTAGGAATAGCATTTATTCGATGCTGCAGCTCATGTTGAGTATCATAGATATACATTTGCAGATAATGAGGTTCAGAGCTGTGTTCTGGCAATAATGATCCAATTCGGTGATGAAATGAACCTTGAACGCGAAATGTGTAGATACCAGCTCTTGCATTAGCGAGATCACGATCAAACATTACACCAACGGAAGCAAAGGTAAATGCCGAATTATAAAGACGAATTTTATTAAGAAAATCCTTAGTGATATTATTTTGACCAGAAAAAAAATGTTGCAGGATCAAGGGAACATTAGGCTCCGCTAATAAAACCTTTCCATTAGAACAACACATTCCCGGACTTTCTGTAGGTAGCTTGAGTGCATTGCAGTGACTACATATGGTATTATTGTTAAAATCTATTTGGTGTTTGTTTGTATTTGTATCTTCAGAAAAGTTACGGGCAAAATTATATAGCTGATAATTGTTAATGTGACACTCTG